TGCCGTTTTGACCAGCTGGTTGAACAATGAAGTCAGTCACGGTCTGTTGAATTGGGGGTGCGGTTAGTAATAGGTACTTTTCAAGTTTTCAATTTTTGTTAAGAACTCTTCAACCCTGAAGCCGGAATTGGGGGTGCGGTTACTATTACGTATGCGGTTTATATTAGGACTTTAACGGTTGTTTCAAAATCTGGTCAAGGATGGCTGATTGACAGCCATCTGACTTTTTGGTCTTACTACTATATTTCCACAATTTATGTACCATCTTCATTCGTATTTGGCACATACATTATACATATCAGTGTGTTTCATAATCAGATTATTTTTGGCTACTACACGGAACACGTGTTTTGATGTAAATAAACAATCTGTTGTATACGCCACTTGGAACTCAAGTTTCAAGGACACACTCACGGCAATTCCTTCGCTTTAATATGACGAGCACAAAGAGAACTTTCAAAAATTTAATGGGGACTGTGTCATTTTCAATGACTTGTTTTGTTATGAATTGACAACTTTAGTTAACATAATATTTGTCCAGAATCTAATGAGTTGGTACTGTTGGTTACTGTATCTCTAATAGAAATGCATATACCGTATAGAAGTGTATAGAAATCTTGTGTCAATGTAATTTTTTATTTTTATCCTGCAGTCCCAGGTGGAATGTATGAAGTTAAAGAGTTGTTTCTGGAAGATGTATTGAAATGGTACGTATTAACATGTATACTTAATTAATAGCACACACATATTACCAAACTAGTGTACTGTGTGAACTGGTACCTTGTATTGGAAGCAGTGATTGTATTAACCCTAATATTAGAGAGACCACCATTTTAAGACCTATTTGTAATAAAGATACACAGAATATATTGCCATTTTTTCTCTACTTTTATTCACAATTTCTGCTGAAAAGATTATTCCTATGTGATGATGTTTACAGGGAGTGTATGTCATGTAACTGTGCTTTTTCTGTGAAGTTCTCAGAAAAAATGTCATGAAAGCTGCTCACAAGTTCAAACATTAGATGTTTTATTACATACAGTTCTACAAAAATATGCATACAGATATTATTCTAGATCCAACTTATTTGAATTATGATTTTAATATGCATAGTTAATTTTGCCATTTACAATTATAGTGTTTATTATATATATATTTATAAATAATTGGTTTCCATATTCTTCACAGCACTGGATATACAAGCAAAATAATGGAAAAATACAAGAAAGAACTGTTAACATGTAAGTACAGTTTAATAGTAATCTTTATGATTGATGATGTTCTACATAAAAACGACGAGACAAACTTTTACATTGCCATATTTTAAATCTCCATGGTTATGTTTGGCATGTTTAAACATGTAAAATACATTGTTTATTTACGAGAAATTTAATAATATGCTGATAAAAATGTCATGTGTAATAGATATAATATTATTTTGTTGACTGTTGCATTGGTGTTACAATGCCTCCAGAAACACAAAACAACTGAACACGATTTTTTTACTATGATAATGGTTTCTTGTCTGCAGTGGAAGATCATAAAAATAAATTAGAAGAATGGTGTCAGCAACGAGAAGTGAAAATATCTGACACGATTGGTAAAGAAGCTGTTGAAGCCGATGAACAAATTGATGAAGGAGTTGATGTGGATAAAGATGAAGATTTACAAGTTGTCACTACTGAGGTATTTTTAAAAATGTTAATATGTATATTTTTATTTTTTTTTGTTAATGGACACAATTTCCCATTAATTACAAGTCTTGATCAAAATATTTAAAAAACAAATTATTAGAGTTGACTGTGGGGTTTAAGTCACTACAAAACTGAAAAAATATGAACTCAAGTGTTGCTGAATGTTGTCATATGGTTTTGATTTCCATGATATTTCTAGTAGAGGCATATTGTGAACCAAAAATGTCTATTTTTTGTGTGATTTTTGACTCCCGTGTGCAAAGCACACAATGGGAGTCTTTGCAGTTAGTTTGTCTGTGTGTGTGTGTGTGTGTGTGTGTGTGTGTATGTGTGTGTTCCACTGATATCTCAAGAACCATACATTGATTTTTAATGAAACTTGGTGCATAGATGTTCTGGGCCAATGCGCAGATTTGATTAGGTTTCGGTAAAAACCATGCATATTAATTACCTAATTTGCATGATAATTAGCTGATTTTTAGCTGTTCCATGACTGTTCCACTGATATCTAAAGAACCACTCATTGGATTTTAATGAAACTTAGCACATAGATGCTCCAAACTAATGCGCAGATTTGATTAGTTTTGGGTAAAAATCTGTGCAATATTAATTACCTAATTTGCATAATGATTAATCAATTTTCGGCTTTTCAGCTGATATCTCAAGTACTAATCATCACATTTCAATAAAATTTGGTACATAGATGTCATAGGACACTGCATAGACCTGATAGTTTTCAGGGTAATGTCAGTAGATATTAATTACCTAATTTGCATAATTAATTAATTTTCAGCTTTTGATATTTCAAGAAGTAATCATCACATTTCAATGACACTTGGTACATAGTTACTAAAGGACTGTGCAGACCCCTGATTAGTTTTTGGGTAAATATTTGTGCATATTAATTAACTTATTAGCATAATTAGTTAATTTTCAGCTTTTTGCCTGATATCTCAAGTACTAATCATCATATTTCAATGAGACTTGCTACATAGATCTTCTAGGACTATGCAGAGACCTGATTAGTTTTAGAGTAAATAATTGTGAATATTAATTAGTTAATTTGTTCCATGAATGTTCCACTGATATATAAAGAACCACAAATTGGATTTTAATGACACTCATTTAATGAGTACTCATCATTACATTTCAATGAATCTAGAACTATGCAGAGACCCAATTAGTTTTTGGTAAATATTTTTGCTTATTAATCACCTAGTTAACATAATTAATTAACACTGATATCTCAATTACTGATCATCACATTTGAATGAAATTTGGTACATAAATGCTCTAGGACAATAGATAGGCCTGATTAATTTTGGGTTAAAATTTGTTCATATTAATTCTCCAGTTAGCATAATAATTCATAATTTTTTTGTTCTGTTCTGTTCATATTAGTTACCTGATTTACATAATTAGTTTTCAGCTTTTCCATCAATATCTCATGTACAAGTAATTTTTAATTAATTTTTAATGTGTCTTCAATACTCTCAGCACACTGGAGTTAGATTATACTTTTAGGCAGGTGATTTATGAATAAAGTGCAGTTACTTCTATTTTCTATAAAAATATACGGATAAAACTACTATTTTTGGAATGTTGAAATGTACATGCATTGAATAAATTGTATTGTACAGTGTCAGGTTGAACTCTCTCTATACATCCTATACACTGTACTTATTGTGTTTGCATAACTTTATAATTTACTTGGTAATTCTGGCATTGACTAAGTAGTGACCACTGAGAAAACTTACATAATCTGTAACTATTGTTATGTTTTACAGAAAGAGTTGGACACCAGTGAAATGGAACCATGGCTTATTAAGGACTTGGACCGATGTATAATGGATGTATGGTTGAAAGGCAGTGATGAAGCGTTCTCTCAACTCTTCCATCTCATACACAGTGAGAATGTCAGTGGTAAGTTACACCAATATCTAAAGTATTATTCCAAGGAATGCTCAGCTGAATTTTACCATACATATGGCAGTGAATTATGCAGAATATATTCTCATTAATATTATTATAGATATACTTGGAAGAACTGTGTGTTCATTTTTACTAATAAGTCTTACTTGTATACTTGTTACTGTTTTTAGTTGATTACAAGCATAGCGAGACAGGAGCGACTGCATTAATGGTGGCTGCAGGTAGAGGAAATATGGATAATGTAGAGAAACTGCTCAATCTTGGTGCTAATGTGAAAGTCATGTCATCTAATGATTGGACGGCCAAGGATTGGGCCAAAGCGTTCAATCGTACTGAGATTGTTGACCTTCTTGAAGCGCATATGTAAGTGTTTTGTCAGAATTCTATTTTTAGATCTGTGTACACGTTTCGAGGATACTATATTTTGGGTGACAATGTTTTCAATTGACAGAGAATGAAGAAAGCTGTATCATAGAAACCCTTGTAAACTTTTGTTGCTTTCCAGTAAATAGTTTTCTCATTAAATATGTACATGTATCTTTCATTTTTCTTACTATCAGTGTTCACAATATTACTCCGTACATAAGATAACCAACTCGTTTCAACACCTTGTCTTTTGAAGTTGTTCAGAATTTGTCTAAAAGTTGGATTCTTCCTGTGAAAACACCCAGGGAAATACTTCTTGTA